AAATAAATAATAATTTGCAAAAGCTGGAGAGATGCTAAGCCTTGCGTTGTGCACGCGCCGCCATCTTGTCTATAAATAAGTTTAACGTAGTAGTACAAACGTAGTACCTACTAGACTGTCGTCATTTACTGACCCTCATGTCATTCCAAACCTGTATGACCTTCTTTCTTCTGCAGAAAACAAAAGAGGATATTCTGAACAAAGAGTGAAAAATTTAAGGGGGTCTGAATACTTTCCGTACCCACTGTAGGCAACCAAACACTTTTGGTGACTATTGACTTCCACTGTATGGACAAAAACACTGAGACATTTCTCAAAATGTAATTTTTTATTTTTCAAAGATGAATAAGTAAATAAGTCAAACATGTTTGGAATGACATGAGGGTGAGTAAATGATGACAGAAATTTGGTTTTGGGGTAAACTATTACTTTAAAAATATTAGTTATGACTCCATGAATCAAAATAATAACATAATAGCACAATACTAATTATTACAATTATACCGTGCTTTTTTCTTTTTGTTTCTACTTCTCATATTTAGTCACTGTTATGATCCAATTACCAAATTAAATTCGATTTAAATCCACAACAATTATTCTAAGCATATTAACACAAGCTGCACTACAATCAAAAGTGGTGTAACCTGCCTAAGGTGTGACGCTTTCCCGTGTAGAAATGGAGACGGCTCCACCCCAATGCCATCAACCCCACCCCACGAAAACAGCCAGCTACAGGTAGGTGGGAGCTGAAGAACTCACACAGGTGAAATGTTGCTCGACAGGTCTGATGGGAAACAAAGCTTACGTAGCCAGCAGAGATACTGAAAGACTGACAGCTCGCTCTCACTCTCACTCTCTCAGTCAGGAGGAGTCTATATGGGACGCTGTCACTCTGGAGTTGTCTGCACACTGGAGGGCTGTGTTTCTACTGACCTCTGCATATTGGAATACTAAGCCTCTTTTTTCCCTCCCTTTCTGTCTCTAGTCTTATCCGGGGAAAGGAATTCTGGCAGAGCTGTTGAAGGGAGCTTTTTTTTTCATTCTTCCCCTCTTTCACACAAACACACACACACGCACACACACACACACACACTACATTTCTCCTCCTTTGGTGTGTAGCCTGCGGTGGTGAGGGCAGACATTGATAGTGTTTTTGTGGATGCGTGGCGTGGACAGTGCAAAGGAGACATGCTGCAAAATGGCACGGCTGGTGCCATCAGCACCACAACCACCACTGAGATACCAGACCTCAATGAGGTAGGAAACACTCACTCACGTTTTCTTGCTCTTTTGAACTTTGTTTGTTTGCGAATGTCTGATTATCACTGATTCTCAGTAAGGGTGTTCAGTATGTTTGGTTCAGTTTCTGTCCTCTTGTGTCCTTGTGTCTCTCGGCTGTCACTCATGCACCGGACTGTGCCCTAATGGCTCGTCTATATCAAGGCTAATCGGACGCTGTTGACGTGTGCGAGGCAGCGTTGTGTTATTCAGAGAGGGGCCTGTAATAAGAGCCACCGTCCTGGGAGGCAGGGCCCTGTCATGTTTATTTTATCAGGGCCTGGCGCTCAGCCACTGTTGCTGCGGTCAGCTGCCATTCAGAGACATTCTTACAGCTAATCAACTAACACCCTCTCAGATGGCACTAACTGGCATAGAGGGCATCAAACCGCTGAGAACCACATTTTTGACTGTAGTAGTTATTGATTTGAATTGAATAGATGGCCACATCTGAAGTGGTTAATCATTGAAGTGTTTATGGGCGGTCATATTTTAATACAGTTTTGTTATTCTATCTATCTCAGTGATAAAAAATCACTTAGAGCAGCTTGTTTTTTTCTTTTCATGCAAGACATTTCTCATAATAGACAAGTGTTATCCTTGACATGACTTTAAGTTTTTGTTTTGGTTTCAGTGAAATTGCTTCCATTTTCTCCTGAGATAACAATCATCCGATTGTCTGCCTAATTAAACTAAGATTGTGACTAATCATTTTTTGTTTGTCTGTTTATTTTTTGCATCCTGCTATGCTTATGTGTGACGTCCACCAGAGGAGAATCAGGCATCTCAGATTAACCCTCCGGCCTGAGAACAGTCCTAAAACTCAGAATGAATCTGTCAACTCCGTAAGTATCACTTTAGCATCTTTCTATAAACTTCTTGCAGCCAGACAGATTGGCACAAGCCATCCCTTCACGCCATAATAACAAACTTCCTCTTTTCACTGACTTCACACAGTCCTCAATCGGTTTGGCTAGCATCACAAATGGCATGATGGCCTGATAACAGGATAAGCTCAACAAGATAACATAAATGGCTGATTTCTTTACGTTATGACACATCAGCTAGAGATGATCTCAATCCAAGGTTTTTAACTTGGGGTCTGTGATCCCTGAAAGCGCTCCAATGGGTCAGTGGATAAAGATGTTTTCTTAAGTCTGTATGACATTTTCAGCAATTTAAATATATTGAACTTTTTATAATACAGTTATTGTAAACTGCTTTAATAATTTACAGTTTGACTATTTTTACTGTATTTTGGATCAAATAAATGCAGCCTTGGTGAGCATAGGAGACTTCTTTCAAAAACATGAAAAAATCTTACTGGGCTGCAAACATTTGAATGGTAGTGTCGATACTTATTTATTTATATTTACATTCTATATATGGCAAGATGATAGACAAAAGGGATCAAAAAATAAACACAGTAATAATTATAGGGTTAATTAAAGGATTTACCTTTAGGCTTACTTTTTAAGCATGTGCAAGATGTAATTTCAGAAAGGGGAAATGTTGGGTCAGTGTTTCAGAGAGCTAAATCAGAGACTGTGTCCTTCTTTTTTGGTCTGTCACTTGGTTTGTGCATCATAGATCCATACTGCCTAGCCTGTAACATGCCACGCACCTTTACTGATAAAAAATCATGCAAATAAACCCGCATTCTTGGAACTACATGCAAAGAATTCATAGTTAAATGCCACTTTACTTACTAAGTCTATATGTTTAGAAGCAAGTTAGGCTTCATGCAGATAAATACCTCCTGCCCCTAAAGTTCAGACTCCCACGAAACAAAGCTTATGAAATTGAGTCACCTATTTACCAAGGGAGGTACAGTTCATTTTAAGCTTGTTTACATATACAGGTTTGTCTATGTGACAAATTAATTTGTGTATTTGACAGTAGTTGCAGTAGGCCTTCTACAGACAGTGGTGTACTGGGAAAGAAGTCAAGAGAGGTGTGTCTGCATGTACATGAGAGGTTTGATCTGTACCTTGGCCAGGAACTTGCACCCTGCAGCTCTTAGTCCTTGAAGTTCAACTGATATCCGCCCTGTTTGGTCTCTGATAGGAGCTGCTTTGGGAACATCATGCTCTTTCACAACCCAGATACTGTATTATAATGAGAAGTAGAAATCCAGGAGCTCTGCCAACTTAAAACTGTTGATGGCTTTATCAGTGTCTGTCTCATGGGAAGGGCCAGCTGTGGCCATTTTGCTGTGTGCAGCATCAATACACAAAACCCAGGCCTGCCTGATGAAGAACTGCTAATGGCCAATTCTATTGTGAATTTCAAGTGAGGCTGAAAGACTACACTACAGTCACACTACACTACCCACACAGAGTTTAATTTTGTCACACAAATTTGCCAACAGAAAGCGGCTTCGTTTGAAAGTGACCTTTATGTGAGTGGTACTTCATACATTGCTTCATTATTGATGATGGACTCTAGACCTTTTCTCCAATTGAAATTTTGCTGAAAATTTGCTAATGTGACTGCACCTTTAGGAATTTAAATAAGCTTCTAATGAGTTTTCATTGTCAACATATTTGAGAACATTTAAGTTTCATTTAGCCTTTATGTTAATGTTACTTATTTGGATATGCGTAGAAAAACCTTCCAGGTATGGATATTTGGTTTCTGGGTGATAGTCAAGGTTTACATTTGGGATTTTACATAGATTTGGAATATAGAGGCCTTTTATACTGAATGTAGTCCTTTGCAACATAATTAGTGACATAACTGTACAAAAGTGAAACCAGGTCAAAGGAAGAGAATTGAGAAATGGCAGTCTGGGTAGTTAAGTGCGAAGACTAGAGAAGACTTCATTTAACTGAGATATTCTATTACTGCCATAACAAAGAACCAAGACAAGAAACCACTGCAAAATTAAGATGGGTGTGTCTGTGTGTAATCCTGTCCTCCGTGGGATGCTAGTCTACTTGTGGCCTGAATTGCCAGAGTTACACCTGTGGGATTACAGGAAGGCCTGAAATTCACATTGATCCAGGACCAGTATTTCTCAGAAACGGCACTGAATGACGACGTCACTGGTCTCAGCAAAGTTGGAGTGGGTAGCTGCACCATCACCTCCCACTGCATGCAAACAGATATACTGTTCTTTAAAACACAGATGCTAGACTTGAGTTTACACCCTCGAGCATATCTTTATACAACAACAATAGAGCTCATTGAATAGTGTTCAATTCAATCAGTAGGATTACATGAGCAAGGTAGAATATGAAACAGGGAAAACACATGCTTTTATTACTTGGGCTAAGATGACAGATATGCTATATTTGTATATTAATATTGTGCACAGACATATTGTCAAAATGAGCATGAAAGTTTAATGCAGCTGAACTTTGTTAGAGTTGTCTGTCATTGTAAGGTTAGGCACTTTAGTAGAGGTGCATAGTATGCAGAGAATACAATTCTTTGCGTTGTCTACAAAAGTAACTTCCAACTGTTTAATTTAAAGATATAGTTCACCTAAAATTGCAAGTTTTGTCCTCTTTTACTCACCTTCATGTTGTTTCAAAACAGTAAGACTTTTTTCATCTTTGAATCATTTTATCATGTCATGTAAAACTAATGCCTTTACAAATGTTATTTTACAATTTTACAGGTATGCCTTTATTAACTTTTTTAAGCATCAGCATTTTAATGGATGGACAGAATTCTTTTAATTTTTAGTCTTTTAATATCTTAATTTGTGAACTAAAGTTGTTTGGTTTTGGAGCAACAAGAAGGTGAGTAATTGATGTCAGAACTGTCATTTTTTTGGTGAACTATCCCTTTAATATTTTATTATGAAGTAACCATTTTTTAAAAGCTTGAATGCTGCACTGTAATATCAGGATGGCCACCCCAGAAGGTTAATCTCTCTGTTAGATTTATTTGGCTAAATTAAATCCCCAAAATGATTCACAAATATCTCTACACATAACTCATATCACTGCGTCCTGTTTTCAACATTTGAAATGACTCTCCCCTGTTTGAGTACCTCAAATTTAGTCTCATGGGCTTGTGTTTTTGTGGATTATCTGTCAAGTTCAGTAAAGTCCAGTGCAGAAGGCCATGAACAACACTGGCATCATTGTTCTGTCTTATCTCCACCCACTCCCACACGTTGCTCCCCATTCAGTCGGAATCTGACGGAAACGTTAATCGTGTTTTCTCAACATCTCATTCTATATTTTAGAAGAGTTATTCTCATATAGAATTCGGTCTCTGTCAGTGAGGAAGCTGAAGCTCTGTGCTTTGTTTTGGAGAGGAGCGCTGAGGAGGTGTGGTCATGACATGAATGAGATTACAGTTCTGAGAAACTATGCCCTGAGAAGAGAAAGGGGAACACCACACCCTGAGAGTGTGATCACAGCTGGACTTCATCAGTGCTGTTCCACCTCAGTACGATGTGAAAATAGCACCCATGTAAGAGATGGAATATGGTTTCTCATAAACAGCTTTTTAGAAGTAGAACTTGAATTGTTGCATGAAGACATCTGGCAAGGGCAAAACCTCTGATAATGCCTTAACCTCAACAATCTGTAACATTGGTTTTCTAAGTATCACCCAAGCATCAACATGTCTGAAAATTTTTATATAATCAAATACGTTATATCACAGGGCGAGAAACTGGTCAATGGTTCCAGGAAAAAGAAAAATGGGCTCATGCAGAGAGAAAGACCCCCTGGGAGAGAATCACCTCAACAAGAAGACAAGGTATGACAGCTTCTGAGAACACAAACAAACCCACATTACTATTACCCATGCTTATGGAAAGATTCATAATCTGATTCTTCTAATATTTCAGTCTATGACTGTCAAAAATTTTGAGTTAGTAAGATTTTTTTTTTTTTAAGAAATTAATACTTTTATTCGGCAAGGACACATAAAAACGAATAAAAGTGACAGTAAAGACATGTATAATGTTACAAAAGATACCTATTTTAAATAAATGCTGTTCTTTGGAACTTTATTCATCAGAGAATCCTGAAAAAAAAAGATCATAAGATTATCTCAAAAATATTAAGCAATGTTGATAATAATAAGAAATGTTTCTTGAGCACCAAATCAGCATATTAGAATAGGATCATGTCACACAGAAGACTGGAGTAATGTTTAGATTTACAATCTCAGGAATAAATAATAAAAAAATAATAATTTTAATATAAAAAAATATAAAATTGTAATAATATTTAACAA